TGAAACATGTCGCATTGTAGGGTTTGTAAATTTCTTTCTTGCATTGTATTCTTCTATTGATACATAATAAAAAAAATTATTTAATAATTTCAAACATCAAAATGTTTACAAAAAATCGTTGTTACCCAATAAATAAATATATAATCTACTAGGTGACAAAAAGTTTTCTCTGGGCGACATTTCATTTTATTTTTTTTAATACATTTTTTTATCATCATTATAGGTACCTACAAATGAACGGAAAAATTTAAAAAAAAATTGTTTGATTTTATTCTTTGTAAAATATGTATAGGAATATACAATATAGGTGCCTTATATATTTATAGTCAACTCAATAGGTTGGTACCTATAAAACAGGTATGCATATAATTTATATACCTAAACTATATATACGATATAATTATATATAATCGTATACTGGGTGATTCTTTTATCAAACAACATTCATTATTTCAAAAAGTGTAAATTTTTTTGAAGATATTTTTTTACATAGTTTCAAGTCACTTATAAAACAACGTTTTTATTAAGAAATTATATTTTCAATTATTTTTTATCCTTATAATTTTTTAAGTTTTTTACTTTTTTTAATGACAACATAGGGTTTTAATTTTATATTCTAAAGTAGAATATTTTGCTTAGTATTTTGATACATGAAAATTGAATTTGGGGCGAGTAGTTTATGAGTTATAAGTAATTAAAGTTTTTGACGAGCGGTGAAGTGGACAAACATTTCGCGGGGTAACCCCGAACCACTCCACTCCGCTCGTCTAAACTTTAAATACTTAAAACTCATAAACTACTCAACCTAAATTCGATTTTCATGTATCAAAATACTAAGAAAAATATTCTGCTTTGGAATATAAAATTAAAACCCTATGTTGTTATTCAAAAAAGTAAAAAACTTAAAAAATTATAAGGATAAAAAATATTTAAAAATATAATTTTTTAATAAAAACGTTGTTTTATAAGCGACTTGAAACTATGTAAAAAAATATTTTCAAAAAAATTTACACTTTTTGAAATAATGAGTGTTGTTTGATAAAAGAATCACCCAGTATATATAATTATAAAAAAAGTAAATTAAAAAATTTGAAACTCAAATAACCAATTGTAGGTAAAACAATAAGTAAATAACAATAAACCTGTCTTTGGTATAAATTAAATTAAATTCAAAATTACATCTTGTAAAAAAGCAAAATTAAAAATTTAGTTTAAATTTAAATTTACTGTGAATGTCCGCAATTGGTGAATGCTGACAGTCACCTGGTCAATGTTAACATACACAACAAGATTTTGGTTAATGTTGACATAGGTAAGTATTAGAAACAACATATTGAGAGAATCCGGAGCTTTTTAGGGCTCCGTAAACCACCCACGATGTAAGGGGAACACTTACACCGTGACCTATGAGCCGCACCGCGTGATGACCCGAGGGCCAAGTCGGTGGAGCTCATAGGCTTTGTTACACGCAACTACAAATGAATGTAGAGGATTTATGTTGGGGTAAAGAAAATAATATTAATTAACAAATCAAGACAATAATGAGTTTAGGGTAATTATGTGGGTGTATTTTACATGGTTATATAACATAATTATACTTTGGCAAGTTACAAACAGTAAAATAAAATAATTTGGACCCATGGCAGTGTCAAAAACAATAAAAATATAATAATTTGGGCACATGGCAATTACAAAGTCAGAATATGGTGGCACATGGCAAGTAGGTACAAAATATAACAGATTTGTCGCATGCTTTCCTGGCCCACGGGAGGCGACACACCATATCACTCATGACGTATCCTCGCAGGGTTACCGGGAAAGCGTGCCGGGCTTGTTAAAGCCAAACACAGGGGGAAATATGTGAGGGACCCGCGTCTTGCGACGCCTCCTCCGGCGCACAGATTATACAAACGTGAATTTCGTATAACCTGTGGCCCACGTGCTGGTAAAGGGGGGGGACAGGGGAAATAAAACATATTACGACTGTGCTGCGTGGTCGATGTTGACGATGATGATGTGCCGGTTTGACAGCAGTCACGTGGTTGTAGCATGGCCCGACCTCAGGCCCGTTGTGGAAAACTTAGCCCATCATGGCGTGTTGATCATGAGCCGGAAAAAGGTATGTGGTCCGTGGTTCAAGACGAGAACAAGGTGAGTCGTTGATCCAAGACGAGAAAAAAGTGAGCCGTGATTCAAGACGAGAGAACAGATGAGTCAGTGGAGACTTGAGAAAAGTGAGACTTGAGACTTGCGAAAAGTGGGACTTGAGACTTGCGAAAAGTGAGTGAGTACTGTTGAGCGGAGACCCGGCGACATCGGTGGTCTGTTGCCGGCGGCGGAGCTTTTTGTCGTTGGTGGGGCAGATCAGTGTCGTCGTTTTGTGGGATGATACAGTATATTCGGGGAGTACAGTAGTGCCTGCGGGCCGTACCGGCGGACGCGACAAAAGCGCTGGAGATGACGGGCGGCGGGCAACCGCGGCACGTCGACGACGAACACTGCATGATGAAGGGGGGAACGGGGAACATTTATTGCATAACACTGCGGTCATTTCTGCATTAGCGCGCGATAATCATAACAATATATAAATAAGGTATGTTTATTAATGGTAATATGGGTACAGGTATGTTTATGATATTAATAATATTAATGCAAAAAATGCTGTGACGTTACAATATGTTTAATTACTTAAATCAAAAAAATATTATTATTATTAAACAATATTATACTATATTATATTTGTATAATTATTAGGTATTTAAATTATGATTGTTTTATAATATTACTTATTACAGCATGACAAACTGTCATGACATTGTGTACTACTTAAAATTCCAACATTTCTACATTTACACTTTTTTGTAGTACACTTTGTTTTACAGTTACATCTTGTATATTCTTGCCCACCAATCAATGAATTTGATGTAGAAGCTTCCCTTAAAGAAATTTGTTGATCCCTTTATACATCAGTGATTGATATTAAATTTTCTTTACACACTAAAAACTGGTTTCTGGTGTATAATCGATTTATAACACCGTTTTTGGTAGCTAATTTATAAAAATCATTATCTACTATATCAAATACTACAGCTAAAATATTTTGGGGTTCCATTTTACTACGATCAACATCTGGAACTCGAATACGGACAGTTTCTCCAACATTAGCGGGCTGAAACTTTTGTTTTGAAGTTCTCAACATTTTGATGAGGACCTGTAAGGTGCCGCGTGGGTGGTGAGTGAAGGTAACCAAACAGAAACAAAAAAAAAAGAAACAAAAAGACACACTGGTGTAGATCAGTTTTATTTGTCGTGTGAAATCATACAATAAATTGCGAAACGGTATCGGTGTCCGTCGGTTACGGTGTGATTGTCATAGACTCGCGGGGACGTGCGTGACGAGGTCCGTGTCCGGGTCGTTGAGAAAGACAAGTGACTTGTATGAGCCGGTTCGCCGAACGGCCGGTCGACGTTTCCAGGCGCGGATGTCGCGCGCCGGCGTCGTCCGTCATCGATTGGCAGTTTGATTGAGAAGCCACGGCGCGGTTTTCGCGCAAAGGCTGTTTGAATTCAAACAGCTGATATTGCGAGGGACCGCGTCAATTTTTACAGCTTGTACTTCTTGAAGATTGGTGATTGCTACTTATCTATTCAAAATTATTTTTTCTTTTCTTCTAGAAATTGATTTATATACAAATTAAGTGATCTGAATAAATTAAGTTTCGTTTATTAGTTTATCTATTAATAGTTAATACGTACTTGATATTTATTTTTTCGTGTTGTCCGTCATCATTCGACTCTTGATATTCTCGATCGCTGTTTTCAGAATCTGTTAATCATTTTCAAATATTTATTATTATTTATTTATTTATTTATTTTTAATGAATTTTTATACTTGATACCTGTATTATTATTTTCATGTTAGTCGGCATCATTCGACTCTTGACTTTCTGGACCAATATTTTCAGTATCTGTTAATCATTTTCAAATATTTATTATTATTTATTTCATCAACTGAATATAATTATTATGGGTGCATACTCATATTTTTGATTATGTTTTCCAAATGCTCTTCTTATTCAAGTTCATGTACTTTGTCTCGAGGAAAAGAAGACGAAAACAGACCCATTTTGGCGTTTGTGCCAAACATAGCTTCATACGGACTTTGCTTTATACCTTCGTGATATGCTGTATTTTTTGTAAATTGAACAAAATATAGACCATCCACCCATTTATTCGTATTATTTTCGTACATCTATGCTCTTAATAGGTTTTGAATATCTTGAATCTTGATTCGCTCTCTCTATTGAACCTTGTATTTGGCGTGGTTTGCCATAGTATAAGATACTGTTTTAGTGTTTTATAATTGTTACCCTTCCGTTATTCCTAAATTAGATTCGATAATATCGGCATCAATACAATTAAATTATTTATTTAGAATTTAGATTATATTGAGAAGTAACATTATATAATATACTTAGAGTTGCCACCTTTGAAAGAAAGCAGCCCAGGAGACAGGCCGATAAGCAAAAAAAAAAAGGTCGTTTAGTCATAAATGTGGTCGTTAATGAATTACTTTTCAAATTCTGTGTAGTTTTATAATATCGATGCACGGTTACACTGACACAAATATTAAAAGCAGATATTCGGATTAGATCAAACACACTCGACTGTGATGTTGAAACTGATTCGTAAAATCAAATCGTAATCGTAGACTCATAAAGTCATAAACCGTAGTTCATAATCTTATTATTCTTGTTATCTTGAATAAATGGTTTTCATACCTGAAACTAATAAAAAAAAAGGCATAATAATAAAAAATCGTATGTTATCTTATCTTTATCTCCGACCCGGAGAATAATTCACTGAACCCGGAGCCCGTAGATTTATACGTAAACCCGGATTCTACGGTTGAAACTCGCAGAAGTGGCAACCCTAAATATACTTAGATTAGATTAAATTTATTTTATTTAGATTAATTTTATTAAATTATTGCATGAAACTTAATGGGATGGTTGCGCTTGAATATTACTGCATATGTTATCAATATCTGGAGTAAAATGAAACCTGAGAAATGCTGAGAATCCACTTTCACATAAGTATGTTGAAGGAAAATGAAGTAGGACCCCCAACGCCTTTTCACTTAATACCTCATATTCGCTGTGAACTTCTATCCAAAATTTATCTAGAGATGAATTGTTTTTTAAGTTTTTCAACGTGACGTCTGAGGAAAGATCTGCCAACATATCCTCTTCATTCGGCACAATACAAAATCCATAAGAAACCATCTCTTAGGTCTTGATTTGAAGGGAAATACTCTTCAAATTTAAGCGACAACATATTCAAATGATTAACAATAATCAGTTTAAGTTGATTAATACTGTAATCTTCATTATTCTCGTTCACCCCACTCATGAACTCCATTAAGGTGCTGAACATTTCAGAACGGTTGTTTTCAATTCTTGTAATCCACAGCTTAATTTTTTTCTTTTGCCCTTCTATTTTACTGTAACTGCGAAACATGGTTTTCTGTGTTCCTTGAAGAGACAGGTTTAACTCATTCAAAAGTTGAAATATGTCTGCAAGATAATATAATTTCATGTTCCAATCTATGTCTTTGAAGTACTGAACAAGGTCACAATTTTTGCTTGTTAAAAATATTATTATTTCTTCTCTAAGTCCACACAGTCTTTTTAATATCCGACCTCTCGAAAGCCAGCTAACTTCCGCATGCAATAATAGCGTTCTATGTGTGGATCCCATTTTATCACACAAAATTGCAAACAGTCGTGAATTAAGAGAGCTGGACTTAATAAAATTTACTGTTTTGACAGCTTGATTAAACTCGGCACTCATTATTTTACTTGCTAGCATTTCTCGATGTATCATACAATGTGTGCTTAACAAATTTGAAGCTACTTGTTTCATTTTTGCGACTAGTCCTGCATGCCTACCAGTCATATTAGCCGCGCCATCAGTACAAATTGAGATACAGTTTGACATCTTTAAATCTGTACTTAAGAAACAATCAGACAATGCAGAAAAAATTTCATCGCCAGTTGTATGTTTCTTCAATTCCAAGCAGTTCAAGAATTCTCCTTTGATTTCTTTTTCGTCCCAGTCCACATACTGAATATAAATAAGTAGCAGTGCTTTATCAGTAATGTCAGTCGACTCATCTAATTGAAGAGCATAGAGCTTTGACCTTTTTATTTTTCTTATAAGTTGCTGATGAACATCATCGCTCATCATAGTTATGCGATTTGAAACTGTATCATTAGAAAGAGGTATTGTTTTTATTTTTTTAGCAGCTTTATCTCCAAAAAGTGTAAGGTTGGCATCGACCATACAAGGCATAATTAAGTCTTCTCCTATGGTAATTTTTTTTTTTGATTTTGCAATGCGAAGTGATATTAAATGACGTAAAAATGACGCTTTAAGGTCTAACTCATTTTCAGTTCCCGTATTTTGAATTAGTGTCTTCTGAGCTTTCAATTCACTCTCTTTTCTTTTAAAAAAATCGATTACTCTTATACTGCTGGTGTTTTGTTTCCAAATATCTTAAAAGTTTTGCTGGAGCCATAGAACTATTAGTTAAAATTTCCGAGCAAATAACGCATTGAGGGCAATCATCTTTATATGTAAATCCGAGTTCTAAGTATGAGGGATCGTACTTACGAATTTTCGGTTTCTTCGGTTTTGGTTCCAACGAAGATGTGACATCACTCGTTGATGGTGTTGGTTCGTCAGCAGTAGTAATAACACTAGTATTTGGATTTTTTAAAAAGAAATCCAATTTCTTTTGTTTACTCATATTTTAATAAATTGCCACACACAACTGACGAACAACGGTTAACGGACAACTACGAATGGACGAATACGTACTGAAGTACAATATTTTTAATATTATAATAATAATAATAATATTTTATAATATCATCACACACAACTGACGAACAACGGTTAACAGACGACTACGAATGGACGAATACGTACTGAAGTACAATATTGATAATATTATACTTCCTAAAATAAAATTGTATAATAATATCGTATATAATCGTATATTATATAATAATTATTCGATACTGTCATGCCATCGTCGTTGCCCTTATCGTCATCATTAACAATATAATAATATCTCATACAATATATTGTGCACGTCTAACGGGTTTTCCCACTAGCTACCTCTAGAATTCCAGCTTTTTAATATTTTTAATATTTTGATAAAAACACAGCACAGCGGAACCCTCAAGTTATCTTCGCGGAACCCAGGTTAAGAAACACTGAACTATATTGTATGCCACAGTGTGAAGCACTAACCCTTTTCCACAACACAAAAAATTACACTTTCCACATTTTGAAAATGTAAATCCTTTGCAACCAGGTTTCTTGCATCTAGTTTTTTTCTGATTGGGAACTGGCTAATGGTCATATCTATCCGTCCTAATTTCTTTTGGTGGTGAATTTTCTTTTTGTTTTGTAACTAATTTTCTTTTTTTTATTATACCTTTTTCAATATCAGTCAATGGGCGTCCTCGTTTTGGCGTATTATTTTCACCAAGTTTCGCACTAAGTTAAGGCAAGTTGTTCTCTAAATTCCATTAATGGTAAAACATTATTGTTGTCAGATTTTTTATTTTGGATTCGTTTGTGTAATAGCCAAGAATTTACGATATTGACGTCTAGTAAGTGATGAAATAATCGCATATACCACATGAGACTTCAAATTTTAATTTTGTGACTTCCAAGTAAACCATCCAGTAAGTCGACGCTTCCCATGTGAGTATTGTATACTTTTATAATATGGGGACAATCCACTTCTACTCTTTTCAATTTCCTATCATATCTACTAATTTTCGTAACAGGCTCAATAGCAGCAAAAGTTGACAATAAATTTAAATTGTTCGTGTCTTTCCATGTAATCGCTACTATATTTGTATATCTAATATTAGTGACACAATGATCATAATATGTTCCTCTGGATTTTTTTAGCATAATTGAATCATCAATCAACATTACATTCTTGAACCTATTTCTTCAAACAGTACCGAGGGAGAGTATATTTTATTTTTTCAAATGTGGTAAGGTTGTGTAATAGTTATCAAAAAACAATTAATATGATGGTAAATAAAACAATAACTTAAAATTACTAAAATATATACGTTTAATATATTACGAAGATTCACTCAACTGGTTAAAAAATCAAGTTGAACCCGTAAGTGTAGTGCATAAACTATGGGTAGAAACAGCCCCTTATAGTCTAACTCTTCAAATTAATGAAAATGTGATGGACATTTATCCAGCTTTAAAAAAAAACCTATTGGTTATGTTCTCGTTAGTATAATACTATGTCACATTTTCATATAAAATTCTGAGGTACTAAAAGTCTTAAGGTATAAAATAAATTAAAATATGGACGCACCGTAGCTGTAGTGGCAGAGAGGAAGATCTGGAAGTTGAATCAGAATGGTTGGATTCAAATGGTGAATTCAATAGTGGCGGAGATGACTGCGGTGGCCTGGACGGTGAATCTGAGTGATTTGAATCAAATAGAGAGTTGAATGGCTGTAGTGGCGGAGATGACAGCGGTGACCTGAATAGAGAGTTGAATGGCTGTAGTGGCAGAGACGAAGATCTGGATGTTGAATCTGAATGGTAGGATTCAAATGGAGAGTTCAATAGCGGCGGAGATGAAGACCTGGAAGTTGTAGTTGAGGGGGGTGATTCAATTGGTGAACTAACAAAAGGTTGTGTTGATGAGCTGGACGTTGAATCCGAATGATGTGAATCGAACGGAGTGTCTAGAACAATATTATATACATTAACATTATACATCTTTGATAATTTTTTAATTAGATATAATAAAACTTAGTTCTCACCGAATCGTTGTACTCCAAAAGATAGTGTTGCATGTTTCGTGTATTTTAAAAATTTTAAAAATTCTAATACAGAAAATCTCATTTCCTTTAATTTGTTTGTTGCTGTTCTTATTTTTTTATCTTGTGTTTTCCATTTTTTTGCCTGTGGGTCGTGTATTTCTTCTCCATTTTCAGTAAGTAAATAATCATGTATTGTTCCTCTACAATATGTAATTAATCTATCTATAATCAAAATCATTCAATAACGATGAAAATAAATACACACATAATATTTATGATTATATAGGTTATATATTGGATAGATATTTATATAGATAAAATTATATATACGTATACGATATGCATTCTAAAAAAATCATGTGACCTCATGAACTAGAGTAAATAATTAAAAAGGTTAAATAATATACATAATACAATTGATTAATTGGGAGTAAAACGATCCATGATAAATACATAATACTGTATGAAACATTTCAGATGATATCATATTCAATTTAATTTGTCAGTAGATAAAAAAATGTAAATATGTATAACATGTGTATATTTTTAACAAGATTAACATTGGTATCTGCAAGAAATCTAATAATAAAGAGACATATAAATATATGTAGTGTATATTACAGTGTACATATAATATAAAGTTATTTAAAAATTTAATAATAAGTGAAAATATTCACTTAATAGACAATTTTTTTTAAATAATATAAAAACTTAATACTAACCTAAAAATATCCAAGGAGATGGATTGGGTACATTAATATGTGTCATTAAATGTCGATGACTGGCTTCTAATAGATTGCTGGTACGTCTTACACGCCCATTTACAGATAAAATTGTATTAAAGTTACCTATTTGAAAATGTCATGTTATGTTAGTAGATTATAATATATTAAATTAGTTTGTACTAGTGATCCAAGTGTTTTTATAGTATCTAAACATTGTTTTCATCTGTTGCCTTTGGAACACGTCAAGATTAACTTTCAGGTCTTCATTATAAAATTGCTTAATTATATCATAACCCTCATGTATTTTATGACTGGGAAGTAAAGGCAAAGCCATAAGCATATGAACTAAATCTCTTACTTCAAGATTTTCTTGAAATAGTTCAGCCAACCCTAGACATAAATTATTAATTACTCATTAGTAATAATATTTTTTATTACTTTATTTTTCATTTACCTTTTTTTTTAATATTCCTAAACACACACTGAGCATGGTGAAACCAACACCCATGAATATTGGTTAGGGGAAATACTCTTTTAATAGCATCAATAGAAGCTTGCTCAAAATCAACTGTTATGCTTTTGGGATACCAAGAAAGACATACTTCATTTTTTATAAATTTGAATAAATTAATATATGCTTCTTTGTTTTTTCGACTCATTAATGCATTCACAATAGGAAATCCCTGTAAAAGTAATGTTAAAATTGAAAATGTTTGCTAAATGTATAATAATGAATTGTAAGGTTTATATTGTTCATAGTTACTCAAAATATTATATTTAACAAATTAAGACTGTTATATAACTTATTTATGTTTATTACACAACTGAAGTGAACATGCATAAAGACATCTAACTAATAATCGATGGGTATAAAAAACTTACACAATCCATTGATATCCCCATGATTACAAAAAGTTGTATACATTTTCCATTCAATTTTGGCACTGCTTTGAATGTACCATCCATGATAATATCAGTAGCTGATCTTAAAAGCCTAAAAATATTTGATAAGTTTATTTCTTTAATATTTATATACAATTAGTTTATTGGTACAGCAATATAAAAATTATAAAAGCATACATTATTTCAATTAAAAAATATAATTCAATATTATTTTTATTATTTATATATTATTTTCAGTATAATATATAATATTTTATTATCACATTTTGTGCAAAAATACTTATTTCAAAAAATAAAATAAAATACATTTAACAATTAATTATGTTTGTATTAGTTTGAAAAGTGGTGTAAAGTTTGAAGTTGGTTTTACACATACATACCTAATTATTATACCCGACAAGTTTAAAATAATGTTTTTAGATTAAGAATTTGTTGTAAAGAATAGAAATAAAATAAAGAATAGAATATTAAAATTTGTAATCAATTTGGTATTAACATCAGCAAATTTAATAATTTTAAAAGTTACAAAAAATATATTAGTAATACAGTTAAGTTTCTATTGTACATTTTTTAATTGTATAGTAGTTTATTTACCTTGGTTGTATTATGTGTATATGTTTATGTATTATATACATTCTTATTATTAGTTTTTACTCATAAACTATATATTCTTAAAAGTTTAGTTAAATTTACATGGTATGTATTTAAGTATAGAACTCTGTGTCAGGTGTCTCCTCTACAAGCTTTGATTTTTGGAGACTTCATCATTTCAAAATGTTGAATGTTATATTTATATTATGTACATTTGTGAAATGAAATTTAAATTTATTATTATTATTATTATTATTATATACATAAAAGGTATACATACGCTTTAATTTTTGGAGTAACAAATACAATTGATATTTCATCACTTGTACGACCAACGTAAAACGGGTTTCCATCAATTAATGTTTTAACATTGTATGTTCCAGAAAGTAAATATTTCCGTTTATTTCTAATTTTTTTCCGACGTGTTTGGAAACTACCAGGAATTTTCCATTTTTACAGCACAAAAGTACCAACTAGATTTACTTTTCATTTAGATAAATTACTGAAGTCGAAAATCGAAGTATTATTTCAACTAGATACCATGTATACAGACACACAAATAACAAATACATATCTACATATCATTGTAAAATCAATACGTTCATCACTCACGAATCCAAAACACAAATCATTATAGTAAAATTAACGCATTTTACGCTCCGCTAAGAATCTAATATATTATATTATATTTCAGTTTTAAATAACGAACATTTGGAATAAAAACGTTAACACGTAGATGTGAATGATGTGTTGAATTATTTAAAATTTAACATTTATCCGGGAAATATTTCTACTAAAAATGAGAAATCAAACTTTAGAAAACAATGTAAGCCATTTCAAATGGACAGTTGTTTTATAAAAAGACACATGCACGTATTATTAGTAATACAGATGAACAACTTCGTATTATAAAAATGATACATTGTGGTTCAGACTATTCAATTGAAGCCTCCGCTTTGTCAGCCCACAGAGGTCGTGACACCACCCAACGTTTGATTAAACAAAGGTACTTCATGAATAAAAACTAATTATAGTATTAGTATTATACAAGTTTTAGAGCTTTATACATGGCCAAATGTACCTTAACTGTGGCACTAGATTTATTTTTTCTAATATTATTAGTGTCAATATTAGTTTTGAAGGTAGCATTTTGACTTTTTGATAGTATATTATTATTCTAACATTTTTTTTATTTAGATATTTTTGGTACCATATGTCTGACGATGTCAGGGATTTTATAATGCGATGTCATTCTTGCCAAAGAGTGAATCCAACTTCATTAAAAGTGGTTCCTGAATTGAAATCTGTGGAAATTCCAAAACAGGTAGGTAGGTACTTATGTGTTATGTTGGAAAATTTATAAAAAAACGAATGAATGTATAAAAATGTATGAAAAACATAAAACAATAAAATATACTTTATTTTTTTTTGTGACAGTACGTCATTTACCACATTTATTATATCAATTGTAAATTTGTATACATATTATTTTATATTTATAAGTTACAAGCTATAGGTATAATTTACTAACGTTTATTTCGTAAATTACCCTGATAATATGTTTATATATTATAATATTATACACTGCACATTTTTGAAACTTTCACATAACGTCATATATTTTATTTTATTTTTTTTTTTTTATTGATCGTGAAGCCCGGCAACTATGGCCATTAGCTGTTTGTTTTTTTGTTTGTAGGGGAGGAAATTGTAGGTTAGAACACACGTGTGTTTGTTTTGGCAGAATTTTTGATTTGAGCACCCGTAGGTATCTGCCATGCCCGGGGGGGGGGGGGGGAGGGATGGCGGCACTCGTTCTCCGGGCACCGTGACTTGTAGTGATGGTAAAATGCTATTTTTTTAAATAGCAATAGCTATTGCTATTGCTAATGTAAAA